TGCTTGTGACTTTTTTCCCCTGCTGCCGTGCTCATATTAGTTATCTAACTACAGCTGTATCTTCTTCTTGGTTCTGTTTGCCCGCTTAGTATTATATATTTTTCTTTTCTCTTATTATCAGTGGGACCATTGTCATTAGGTTTAGGCCTGTTTTGGAACTCCACTTTAAATAAAGCCAAACAACAAACAACAACATCCGAGTTTCAAATAATAATAATCCTTAGGAATGAAGATGTAATAGTTTCGGATCAGTTCGGGTTTGTACACGGTCGGAGCACAGTTGACCAACTGATACATCTAACGGCTAGCGCCGCCAAGAGCATGGAAAGCAGCCAGGAGTATGATATGGTCTTCCTGGATTTTGCCAAGGCATTTGATCGCGTCCAACCCAAAAGCGTATGCACGTGATCATTTGGGACCAAAATCGATGTTCCCGCCAGGTTTCACTGTGAAAAAGTGAAACTGCTCGGTCTGCTCCGGCCTCGAGGCCGGAGCAAGCAGAACATGTTCTGGCCGACCCAGAACAGGTGCAGGCACAACCAAACGCGCTGTTCCGGTGAATCCTGTTCTAGTTCGTACCAAGTTACTACCAACCAAACGCGGCTTCTCCTTACGTCCGTCGTGTATTCTTTGATCGCTCCTGGATGTCGTCCTGGTAGTCATGTTGCTACTTAAACCTGAAGTTCTTTTCTTAAATCTTCTTTTCTTCCAACTTTTTCCTATGGCGTCCTTCTCTCAGCTCGTCAGCTGTCAACAGTTACCAGGTTACTGCCACCACCATGACACTGTCGCGAGAAGGTGCTCTCTGTAGACGGGGTTGGTGATGTCCCGACGCGGCCATGGGTAGGAGAAGTCTAAAACTCCCCTAGCATAATGAGGGTCAGAACCGGGTTCAACACCCATATGATAATTATGGTTCAAATGGTCCGCACTTCGCAGGGAGTGGGGCTCTGCCAACCGCGGAAGGTTGTAGTAAGGTCACTGTTTCCGAACACAGTGTCCTCCACCTTGTTTCATGCTGTCAATCTAACAATATGCGTGAACTATAACAAGGTTTATCTATATTGGCCACTATTGGGTTATATACAGTCAACTTCGCTAATAACGACTGGGGATATAACGACAATTCGCGAATAACGACAGAATTTCCATGCCCAGAGCAAAGTCCCATCCAACTGTAATACATAATAATGAGACTTCGGGTATAACGACACTTCGCGAATAAGGACACTTTTCTGATGCCCCGCCGAGTGTCGTTATGCGAAGTTGACTGTACATGCATGTAATAGTACTAATACCATGTACAGTGCTGGCAACTGAAATCCGACCACCTTGCCGGTGCGGACCGCCGGCAAGGGGGTCGGATTTCAGTTGCTAGCACTGTATGTACAGGCAGCTCTACAGTCACGTGACGTAGCTCTGCTAAACAGTGAACTGTCTCAGTGTCTGAAGCCAAGGCTACAACTAAGACGAAGCCAAACTACTGCTGGTAGCTTGCAAGGCCAAGTAAAAAAAAGAAGCCCAAGTCAACAGCGGCAACAGGGCCAGCCTGGCCTGGCCAGCAGGCCAGCAGGGGGAGTACAACTACAACTAACTTACTTACTTAGGGAGCATCTCATAAGTTCGCATTTTGTTTCTAAACGTAACGCATTTCGAAACGGGGGTAGGGGGGTAGCGCCCTTTTCGAATAGAAAAATGACAGTTCGCACATTTTCTAGATCACTTCAGCAAATGAGTGTGTTTAGGTGTAGATCTACCTGTGTTTGCAGATCAGCAAACCCTGTACTGCATGCATGTACGCTACTCAGAGGTGTCAAATGTCACACCAGCCTGATCAAACCGTGTACCTGGTCAGCTTTTACAGCAGTACAGACTTTTTAGTTGTTGTGGAGGAACTGTGTTTATGTACGTGTACATGTCATTGATTGTACTTGTACTCGGTAGATGCGGTATTACTGTATGCCATTTACTACCACACTTGCAAAACATTCATATCCATGTACACGTACATAAGCATACCATAGCATGGGGCATGGATGTGTGCAGTACATGTAGATAATAATAATAATAATTCGCGGGATTCGCGTTGGCATCGCTTGAATGTTCAGAAACACACAAACTAGCCTTCGCTTCCGCAGGCCACCACTATGCCTATGCCTTGCACACCTGAGTGGCGAATGCAGACCTCACAAGTGAGTCAGGGGAGAGTAGGTGAGTCTCTCAACCAATCGGGCGTGTAACGGCCCATAACCCTGTAAACTGCATCCTTGTTACCCTCACTCCGAGCTGTGAGTACCCAGTTGACCGTGGGTGTCGGCGCAGTTCACCACGCGTAAAAAGTCTTTACTCACGTAAAAAGTCTTTACACGCTCCCTGCTACCAGCGCGGGTCTCGAACTCGGGACCTCATGATTCGCAGGCAGGCCTGCAAACCAATCGGCCATGTGCGTTGGTGATGTAGATAAACACAGAAAATGTGCGATAAGACTTTCGAATAGAGGGGGGAGGTAGGGGGGTAAAGTCTATTCGAAATGCGTTACGTTTGCAAAATAAATGCGAACTTATGAGATGCTCCCTTACAAGGAAAAGTTCAAGAATCTACTTAGACTCGAGACTACAGACTTGTACAGTCTGTCTGACACTCTGACCAGGTGGACAGTCAGTGCCAGTCAGTCTGTTCCGGTTGTGGACAGGGAAATCCAGTCCAGTGACCCGGGCCGCGCCGGCGCCCTCCCTCAGTCCCTCACTCACTCAGTCAGTGCTTACAGAACTGACTGTGTTTGTATGCATGCAGTGCAGTGCTTGATATTTGCAGGCGCTTCAGGTTCAGGTTCGACCCCCCCCCCCCCCCCCCCCCGGATGTCCATGTCCACGACAGTAGCAGCTATCGCTGCATACAACGCAGACTCAGCTAGCTAGCTAGTGCTATGTCTGCGGAATGCCGTCACGATGCTCACGAATGCAACTGATGACACCTAGTACCTAGTACCTGTGACCTGGCTTGTCACCACGAGTCCTTACATCATACACATCATGCATCCAGCCGACGTCCCTGGCCAAGAATTTTTTTTTGTTCTTCTCTCTCCCACTGTCACTGTCATTCGTCAATCATCTCAAAGTCAAAGCTACTTCACTACTTGCTTGCTAGTGCAGCTAATCTTAGCGTGGGACACCGTCTTTGCTCTTACTACTACTAGTAGTAGACTAGTTCAAAGTACTAGTAGTTGTGTGCTCTCGCTTAGTCTGCTGTGGCTCATCATCAAGGTAACATTTTGGAAATCAATAGTTGAACGGCGATCAAGACTCACGAGCACCAGCAATTATGGGAGCGCTCGGATCCATTGCCAAGGGCATTATCGGCATCTTCGCCATCCTGCTCGGGGTAAGTATCATTGTAGAAAATGATTCTGGCAGGTATTTTTGGAGAAAGGCCAGTAAACTGGCGTTCCCCTTGTGAATTGGCGGCGAATGCGATTACGAAGATTTGCGTGCGAACCGTCTCGCGGCTCACCCTAATCTCATTACCCTGGTCTGGTTTTCGTGGGGAAGGCAAGATTCGCGGACTGTGTGCATTCTGCGTCGCGTACTTGACGAGAAATCGAGAGCGTTTTGGAGCGAGAGGTGAGGCAGTGTCGGAAAGTCCTGTTGTCTCCAGATAGCCTATTTCTCCGTCACTCCAGCACGGTCCACTCGTCAGGCGGCAGTGTTCCGAGTATCGAGCTAGCTCGAGCAAACTACGGACACCTCCCGACAGGCATGCAGTGGACAGTACGGACGATGCGATCTACATGTAGTTCAGCCCCAGCTTTGCTCTACAAAAAAAGCAGCACATGACTTTGTAGTTGTACAGACACAGGCTAGACCGAGTAGATCTACGAACATCCGCTCACCGGGCCGGCGATAGGCGCAGCTGCGCACGACTTCGCAAACTGCGTTAGTTTTTTTAGAGGATCTCTTCGTCTCGCGTTGACTATGTTTTCTTGGTGGTTTGGGTGTGACGGATAATATCTACATAGCCTGCACTACAAATATTTTACTTCCAAGACATCCACTCAGGCTCTGGGTAGAGAGCGGCGGCGAGTACTAATAAAACGGGTAGGACAGTGTGTATCAGCTATTTTGTCTGGCCTCTCTCTCTCTCTCTTGCCCGTTTCGGCCTTGATGGGATTAAACTTTTACCAGCGTTCCCAATAATAAAAAATATTCAACATAGCCTGTACTGTACTGTACTGTTGTATGCGGAAGTTTTTACTACGCAGGTCAAGGGCTGCACTGCACCTGACGTGTACTTGAGTCACGTGATCGGATTTCATTGAGCAACACTGTATGCCTAACTATAGCGATGTCAGAGTGCCGTGCCACGTGACCTCCACGCTTGTCGCTGGATTCCCTAGCAACCAGCTGAAATGATGGCACAAAAGGTCAGTACGGCAGAATGCCAGTCGCGGCCAGAGCGTGCAGTACTTGGCACGCGGGATATTCAAATGTGACCTGAAGACGTCAGTGACAAGCTTGGTCGTGACTATTGCCACGAAAATAGAAGATGAACTTTCGTATCCGCGTTTGTGCGGGCGCGCTGCGCCTACGGAGCTGGGAGTATGGCCGCCGACAAGTTAACGTATGTTCAGTCGCCTTTTTCATCTCTTGCGCTGCCTGATACAGGTTTGATTTTAGTTCCATCGTGTTCCCCGTCGTCCAATTTAGTTTGCTGCCAAGTTTCACCGGCGTATCACGCCGCGCACCAGACTTGTAGTATTTTTCGCGACAGGTACTCCATTGCTGGATACACCGCCATCATGAGTGTTCGTCCAGCAAAGGGACCGGCGGTGAAGATGTTTTGTCGAGTCTTGGACTCAAGGAGGAGCAGCTATTGCAGGATAAGCCCCTGCCTAGCATGATCGGAAACGTTTCAAATGCATTGGTGTTAGAACTGATGAAGTTCAAAGCGGACCACCACCAGGATCATAATCTACTTGTCGAACTCTTCTTGTCTTGGAGAATGGTCAAATCACAACTCATACTTCGGCTACTCTTCAACAGTCTTCTTGAATTTCTCCAACAGTTTGCAGCAACAACAAAAAAACAGTACAGCTACGGTATGTACATTTTGTACAGTGCGCAAGATTATTCATGAGCCTCGATCCCTGTTGTCAAGACCGATTTTGTGCCGTGGTGAGATCTGGTTTGTGTACAGTGCGGCATGGTGCTTTTCGACAATGGCGGCGCTTACCCCGCGCACTCTAAACTGGAATAAGTCCACTATATTTGCTCCGATTTGCTTCAAACTTTGCCAGTATACTCTACTTGTCTTCAGGAATCGGATGGTATTACAATATTTGCCCGATTCTCAAAACAGAAATTTACCCTGACATCGCTACTAACTATGATTGTACCAGAGCGCCCCTGCCTAAGCCACCCTTCGAGTAGGTCCAGGTGGGGAGGGGAGGATGGGCGAGTCCTCCTTTCTGCATTCAGTACTACATGAAAAAGTACTCACCCTACGAAAACTGTTTGTGCATCTCTTACACCGACCAAAGGTCAAGAGCCAGGAGTCGTACAGACCCATCAAAACTCAGGGTTTGTGCGATCTAGGTCAAGAGGGTGGGCACTGTTGCGTACATTTCCTACATTGTTTGCAATGCGTCTTGATGACTTCGCCCGTCCATGGACGGGTTTTCAAGCAGCCTGGAAACTCCCTCCGGCTACAGGCACACGTCATGTTGATATTGATGTTCTGATACTGGTGTGTGTGTGTGTGTGTGTGTGTGTGTGTACATGGTGTGTGTTTGTGTGTTTGTATGTGTGTGTGTGTACATGTACATGTATGTATGTATGTATGCGCATGTGTATGGTACACCTGCAGCTGATCGGAATAGCCTTCCTGGCGGTCGGCGCTCTGGTGGCCGTGGAGTTCCGTTCCTACGCCAACGGAGGTCTGTTCAAGGAGGTGTACCTGTGGGGTCCAGTGGGTGTTAGTATTGCCCTCGGCATTCTACTGCTCCTGATCGGCGTGTTCGGTATCTGCGGTATTTGCTGCGACAAGAAGAGTTTCATCAAGGCCGTGAGTACAATGGTCGCGCACACACGCACAGTCGACTCCTGACATAGCGACACCATTGCCAGGGGCATAGCTGGTCCCCCTTTTAGGGGGGGGGGGGGGGGCATGGCCGCATATATGTAGGATTATGGCTGGTGCATGTCATTCATGGTCATAATGTGCATGCTGCACTTAGGTTGAAATTTTCAACTTGCCCTGTGCCCCATGCGGGCTGCACGCCTGATTGTGGAGGAGAATTAGTTCTTTATAGCCGAAATTCGTCATGACAGAAATGCACTTGCGCTGTGGGTTCAAACTGGGACGTGGACAACGGTTCGCTATATGGGCCTCAACCAGCGAAAACAGCCCTTAGGGTCAACATTTTCAAAATTCCTTTTTGGTTAGAAATTCGTTGAACCACATCTACTGAAGGACCTCAGCCAAGAAAAAGTTCAATATTCCGATTCTAAACGAGTGTTAACACCAATATACAATATGTACTCCAAACAAGTTGGTGCAATGTATGTATACGATGTATGTGTACAATGAATATTCAGCATTCGAAGGTGGGTGGGCAGCTTGAATACTTTTGAAATAGTGAAGTAAGCAGCTATAATGACAAAGAATAGCTGATGAGTGCGGAGAAATGATCGACATATTCGCAGCTTCATCCTGCATGGAGTCGTTCCGCAATCTCGTCTTCCATTTCTTCCTCCGCAGCTGAAGACACGACGTCGCTGCCGTCACTACCCCCAGACTCAGAATTTATCTCAGGTGACGACTCCTCACCTTCCGACTCTGACGAGTCATCGGCCACCTTAAGCCGCATCGCAGCAGGAGATGACGGCTGCGATCCGCCTCGCTGTCGACATCGATGTCGGAACCAAAGAACGTTTCATCCTCATTCTGAACTTCAGCGGCTACTTCAGCATCCACTCTCCACCAGGCTCGAGCTACCTGTAGACAATGACTGCCGTGTGTGCTCTGGGAACAGCTCTGGCGTCCGCAGCCATCGCAACAAGATCAAGGAACACCGGAGTCGCCACTCGACACCACTTCAACTTCAAAATAAATTACTTCAAGCAAGGAGTTCAAGAAGCCGTCGCGCTAGCGCTGTTCGCAGCGCGATCAAAAATTCGTTGAACGTCACAAATGGACCTTTTCTCGAAAAAAATTACGAAATCTCTAAGGGTCGTTTTCGCTGATTGCGGCTCATATCATGAAATTCGCTATATGCGAGTTCGTTAGAAGTGGAGTCGTATGTACACGTGCAGCCATAATATGGACAGTTGTGGCGGGTCACATGACCGTACCCGTGTCTACAGCCAATCAGCGACCTTGGCGAGTATGCAGGCGCGTAGCACCGCCGTTGACAGTGGTCCGGCCAGGGGGTCCGGGGGGATGTCCCCCCCCGTAATTTTTTTGAAATTAGGGTGCAAAATCCTGCATTCTGGGCAAGTTTGGCATTGTTTTACTATGGTGGTCGTGGTCGGGCGAAAAAGTGGTCGGGCAAAAAAGTGGTCCAAAGCCGGACCGGCCGGAGCGGCTGCTACGCCCCTGGTATGTGCTATTTCCAGGTATTGCCACAACTTGCATTGGGGGATGAATGTTTGGAAGGGAAAAACTCATCTTGTATATGCGTGCATGTGCGGTCTGTTGCTCTACTTTGCAGTTTGCAGCGTTGATGTTGATCTTGATCGCTCTGGAGATTGCAGCTGTTGTTCTGGGTTTCCTGTACCGTGGCAAGGTGAGCAAGAGAGTGGGGAAGAGAGAGAGAGAGAGAGAGAGAGAGAGAGAGAGAGAGAGAGAGAGAGAGAGAGAGAGAGAGAGAGACAGAGAGAGACAGAGTATGTGTGGAGAGGGGGAGGGGGTGCTCCATTTATCGTAGCAATGTAAGGACGAGAGTGAGGGGGGGGGGGGGGGGGGGTGGAGGAGTAAGGGTGTGCCCGCGTCTCTTCGTTATCAACTCGAAAGGCTTTGCTGGGTTCCAGTGAATGAAATACATATTGTGTGTGTGTGTGTGTGTGTGTGTGTGCACGCATCCGTGCGCGTCTGCTTGTGTGTACGTGTGTATGTGTACGTGTGTGTACGTGCGTGTGTGCGTGTCTACTTGTGTATGTGTGGATGTATGTTGCACGTCACTATAGCTGGAGGATGAGCTGCAGACAGGTATTGAGGACGGAATCAGGAAGGCCTATGGAGGAAGTACCAACGACACTAACACAAAGAAGGCACTGGATGAATTGCAGGACGTGGTTAGTTTGCCTCACGATTAGGGATAAAGCTATTGTGAATTTGCACCAATTGCATGGCTACCGTTTTACCGTTTTACCTTTTTATTACTTTTTGTAGCTGCAGTATAACCTGTCCTAGAGGACCACCTGTCCTAGAGGACCACCTGTCCTAGAGGACCACCTGTCCTAGAGGACCACCTGTCCTAGAGGACCACCTGTCCTAGAGGACCACCTGTCCTAGAGGACCACCTGTCCTGGAGGACCACCTGTCCTGGAGGACCACCTGTCCTAGAGGACCACCTGTCCTGGAGGACCACCTGTCCTAGAGGACCACTGAAACCAGGACCGAGGGATGCTATTTCTAGTCAAATGGCCCTGGCTAAGGAGACCACCTGGTAACAGAGACCACGTTTTCAAGGTCCCCTGAGTGATCGTCTTAGACAGGTTTCACTCTACACGAACATGTAGTTGTTAGACAACATGTGCCAGATTCAAGTTTATGTTCGATAACTACTCCATTTCCTTTCAGTTTGATTATCCTACCTGTTAATGATGTGCGGTTGGATGGGTGGCTCAGAAACCTTTTTCATCGTGTACATGTGTGTGTGTGTGTGTGTGTGTGTGTGTGTGTGTGTGCATGCGTGTGTGCGTATGTGCACGTGCATGCATGTGTGCGTATGTCCGTGACTGCTGGCTTCACCGGCTGTTTCACAGTTCAACTGCTGCGGTGGTAACGGAACTTATGATTACACCAGTCAGAACCTCGAGATCCCACAGTCGTGTTGCATAGACCAATCAAGCTGTAATGGTACAGCAGCCTACAATCAAGAGGTCAGTGAAGACATTCATTTCCGTTCATTCATTCATTTCCATTCATTCATCCATTCATTCTGAGCCTAAAATACATAAAACTCTCCTCCTCCATGCCCTCTGTCGCTCTGTCGCAAGTATTTATTTATTTATTTATTTCACCGTCCAATGGCAGAAGCCAATGCAAAGGAGGGGGCGTTAGCCAGCCATGGCAAGAGAAGAAAAAAAATGAAGGAAAGAAGATGATAATCGGAAGAAAATAATGCATCAGCGGAGTATGTTTTCATTCGGCGTGCGACTAGCTCGGAGATGGCTGGGGAGATTGCTCGGGCTGAGCGATCTTGAGTGCACCGACAGCTCTCCTTGATGAGCCTCTTTAGAATAGAGAATGGTTTCACAGTATCATCTGTGTGATGTGACTATAGATTTGTGTAGAAAAATGATCATGTTGTGTGGATTGTGAAACCAACATGGCCGATATCTTGATTCACCATGCATCCTATCAGCAACCCAAGCTGCCTGGATGAATGCACGTTAGATTTAATTGGTCTCGGGTGGTATACGTACTGTATTTTCCGTGGTGTAAGCCGCCCCTTAACCCTTTGGAGTCCATAACTTTTTTCTTCCTCAGTATTTGTGGCCGTCACGAAAAATCGCACTCAATTTCCAACATAACTTCGGTTCTACTTCGCCGATTTTGAAGATCTTGGGCTCGTTGGAAAGCTCTTGATGAGAGCAATACAATGAGCCGAAACTCGCCAAGAGCACTACTCATTGTCCACCACAACGCGCTCCAAACGCGAGTCCAGCTCCAGATCTGAGACGAAATCAGTCTCCTGCAGCCATTTCACTGAATATAGCTCGGAACGGTTCGAATTTTTTCGAGTAGCAGCTTACTTTGCCGTGACTTCGCGCCACCGGTCCTGGCATGTGCTGCCTGTCCTGAAGCTGGGAAAATCCCTTTTTTCACGCACTACTGACTCGCACCACGCAGCGCAGAAAATTCAAAATGTTCGATCGCTCGCTGCTCACTCAAACTTCATCGGAGAGACTTCGGACCTGTTCGAAGCGATAGCTGAGAGTTTTCTCTACCACCTAAACCCTTCGATTGTTGAATTTGGTCAAGATGTGGCCGAGAACCGAAAGAGTTGACTGCGCCCACATGCTTACAAAATGCCCATGGTTCGAAATCGAACCATGGACTCCAAAGGGTTAAAACCCATAAAAACGTTAATATTATGGCGTGGGTACCTCGGGCTGGGTCATTTGGCAGATGCAGAACAGGGGAGGGAATTGTTAGCTGCTCTGGGATGTGAAGAAGTATTGTTACAGAAGTATAGAATGAAGTAGTATATTGAGACAGTAGAATGAAGAAAACAAGAACCACTGGAGCATGCGCTCTTCTCTTTACTTGATGGGTTCTGATCGCTATGGCAAAGAAGCAGGAAATACGAAATGGTGAGTACAGAGTACAGAGTGTGTTAGAAACATAACACCTAGGAAAGGTGCGAGATAGAGGTAACGACTTCGGCGAAAAATTACACCTCGTAGGGCGCATTCACGCGCACGGAAAAACCGAATACGGGTACAGCTTGCCTGGCGTGGAAAGTGTCTCGGTGTATTCAGACGTACTTCGTAAAAAGCGTGAAAATCCCCGAAGACGCTCTTTCTGCCATGCCAACCAGGCGCGGCAAAAACAAAATTCTCAGAAAGAAACATGTGCACATTGCCCGTGGGGACACAAAATAATTTGTTGTAGAGGAGAGTAAGAGATAGAGAGAGAGAGAGAGAGAGAGAGAGAGAGAGCATGGCCGGTTTTGTAGCTGCATTCGACTTCTGCCACCTAGTTTACCATATCGCCCAACACCGCTCTCTTCAATTTCTCGCCATGGTCGTCGCCGTTCTCTTGGACGAAATCAATCGTCAGTGTTCATGGCGTGCTCTGCGTCTCTCAGACGGGAACGCAGGTGGTGAGCAATCCAGCGAAGCCTTCGCTATCGCTGCGTGCTTCTCTTGAGCTGTCAATGTAGAACCTGAAGCGCCTGCAAATATCTAGCGCACAAGAGGGAATACCGGAATTCAATTTAGTATTTCGTCATCTATCTCCTCGATTTGTGCTGTATGCAAACAACGCACGTACCTCCACATAGCTCTTCATCACGGCTCGCTCCATCTCGTTGTTGAACACGGTTTTCGGCATGATTGTTCTTCGATGCGAACACTTTCAACCTCACCAAACGCACTACACTCCAACAAACAGCTTTCAAATCACCGCGCCAAACCAACTTCACGGACAGTAAACCTTTTCCAGTGCTCCTCCGCGCGCTGGGCAACTTTTCCTGGCAGAAACGCTCCAGGAACGTTACGTGAGCACTTTGACATGACAACTTTCCCAACTGCCGTGTTTTATCCGTGCGTGTCAATGTGCCCTAACGAAATTAACCAGTGTTCTGTTAGCTGGTATCATCGAGACGGGAAACCGAGAGTCAGGCTGGACCAGAACTTGCCACCAGACCTTCATGATCTATGCACAATGTAAACGCTGCCTCTCCCTCTCTCTTTCTCCCTCACCCTTTCTCCTTCTCTCTCCCGCTGCTGACTCGGCAGCGGGTCTGAAGCCTCACTGCAGGAACTTGGGCAGTACTCAGGCTCTGACTTTGACGTGGGGTTAACGCTCACAGCTGACTCAGCACTCGCAAATATACGCCACACGCCAGCAGGCTCGGTTGATGCCAGTGGGTGGGACTGGGCCATATGCGTTCCAACTAGCGGCCTTCCTCGTCGGGGAGTTTGCGTGGATCTCTCTTGGTGCTCAATGGAGGCTTGTGTGCTGTATTCTGTCATGGATATGCAGCTGCTTATAGTCCTGGGTGACGGATACGGCCGTATACGTCTAAAGTAAAGACGTGACTGGAGTCTGCGTGCTGGAATCCCCCACCGCCGTCAGCAGTACAACGACTGTCTGTGTGCTTGCATCGGCAGATGACATGTCACGTCATCTGGACTCGCCGCGCTGCGCATGCAACTAGGGGCCCGGAAATGCTGCCAAGTCAGGCTCAGCATTGGCCGCTTTTCGACGTGCGATGTTGGCTCAAAAGGATGCTAGCTTAAAAGCACCGACACTGTTTATGTACATGCACATGCAATTTGTTGTCGTCCAGCGTAGCAAGCTGCTTTCATTTCAGAGGGAGGGGTCCGAGTACGAAATGAACGATGTTCGTTTCCGGGACGACTAAAACTTTGCGACGACCCCTAACGTAGGGAAAGTCAAAGACAGGGGAGTTAAATTATCAGGCAAACCAGGTTTTAATAGGTTTTACATAATTTGGACAGTTTTTTTAATGAACTGGACGGGTTATTGATCGGGAGTTTACTCAATCTGCAGGCATTTAGATAGGAAATATATTCATTGTTGGAGTCTTGGATTGTGCGACAGGCAAGTCACTCATCAATTTGTTCCTCTGCGTGTGCGTGGGTGTGTGTGGTGTGCATGTGTGTGCATGTGTGTGTGTGTGTGTGTGCGCGTGTGTGTGCGTGTGTGCATCTGCTTTTCACCCGTGATACTGCTACCGTCCCCACGCCATGATCATCATGACAACAGGGCTGTACTGACAAGCTTCAGGATCTATACAAGAGTTACACAAACGTATTCATTGGCATCGGCGTTTCCTTTGCTGTACTCGAGGTGAGAGTGCTTTGGACTACAGTCAAATCTGTTTTTACACATTTTTCTAATTGTCCACAAACTCCAACGCAGCCACTTACACATTTAACCCTTTCACTGCCAGCTGACCACTCAAGGTGACAAGGCGCTCCCTGCCAGGCTGTCAGCTGAGCTGTACACCCCCTCCCTGCCAGGCACTTTTTGCCTCCAGCTCGAAAAATCGAAAGGCCAACTTCTCATGGATTTTTTGGTACTTTCTGTACGGAATATCGCTTTCCAAAGTATACATCGTAGGTAGACAACTCCTAAAGGAAGCCATTGCCGTCGAAAAAAATCGCAAAATCCGAAGTACAAACGTGCTGCGCGCTCTAGCGCCAGCCGCTGTGCAAAAATGCATGGCATGTCATGCGAAAGTGCGCCGTGCGCCGCATGCGCTACATACACTATGTACACGATCGGCCCGGACACTCGCGAAGTAAAGTAAGTTAGTTGTTGTTTTGGAGAGAGAAGCAGATCCTTTTTTTCGTTCGCTGGGATTGAAAGATATGCCAGTGGACCGGAGAGCTACAACACTGGAAGCAGAAGAGATGGCGTGCGGAATGTTCTCTGTCTTCGTGGCAACAGGACTTCAGTTGCGAGAGACTTTCGTCCTGTTGTTGCGGACGAAATTTTAGTTGCTGCCACCAGAAAACTCGGAGAACGAAACGATCGTAAGTCGTTTGGTGAAGCGGATCGTGTCGGTGAACAGCTGCGGAATGTTCTGCCGCCATGGTGGTCGTTTGTTCTCCCGATTAGCAGCAGTCCGAATACATTTCGACTTCGGAGAGTGAAGCGCTTCCCTGTTCCGTTGACAAGCGCGGCGTTCGCGGGTGTAATGCACTTTCGCATCAGCTTGCACTAGATCGTCAGGTATTGAGCCTGAGGTAGGTGTCGTTGTAGAAAGAATATAATTATGTTGTAGCTGACATACCTGTAGTGTCTCTTGACTGTGCTGGTCGCCATTGTAATGTGGTAGTTCTTAGAAATTGTTCGTTCTGGACTCGGTGAGCGCCGCCAGCGCTGTTTCCGCCAAGTTTGCAGTGAATGCGTCTGTGAGGAATCCGTCGTGTGGTTGTCTCTACCCGTGGCTCCAACCGCCTATCGCAATGGATAGCCGCCTGGAGTCTTGGACAATGGCTAGGCATCAAGTCTGAACCAAATGTCATGCTCCTTGCAATGAAAGTTGACGGGAAAGAGAAAAAAAACTGGCACCGACTCAGCAAGGTGGAAGTGCGTGAGAACCGATTTCTTCCGCGCCGCTCGGCTAAAAATCAGATGCGCATTTTCAACGACGCTGGTTCGATTTTTTTCAAATGGCAACCCATGCTTCTGGCAGCGTATTTCGATGGGTATGGACCTCTTCTAGGGCCTAGTGGCCCTCTACCACGGCTAAACATCTCCAATATTCAAAAATAGCAGCCCAAACCGGGTGAAGTCTGCCTGTCGACATCTCGACGGTGGCACTGGGGACTGCATGTTTGCTTGTCGACTTTTGTCGACAGTGGCACTCAGAGTGCATGAATGCGCTGTCGACTTTCGTCGACAGTGGCAGTGAAAGGGTTAACAAACTTCACTTCTCAACTCCAAAAACGGTCTCTTCACTGTGATTAAAAAAATAAAATAAAAAATTCACGGTTCGCGTGAGACTCGGCCAAAGGCCCAGTTTTCCGCATCCGCAGGAACGCCACCACCCTCTTGGATCAAGGCGCAGATGCAGCTCCTAAGCGGTGGGAGGTGAGTAGATCAGACCCACCACAAAGTGGTCAAAGACCGAAATCCCATTCACTGCATCCATGTTTCCCTCGTGCCAGGCCACGAGTTCCCAATTAACTGTGGGTCACAGCACGGCTGGAAAAAATCCTTCCGCTTCCAAGCAGGACTTGAACCTGGTACCCTCTGTTTCTCAATCATGGTCTTAGACCATCCCACTATGCCTGCCTGCTGTGATTAAAATAATACTAAAATTAAATTAAATTTCCCGTTTGTCTCTTTCCCTCAAACCAGTTACTAAAATTAAGATTTACATTACACACGTCTTTACACAGTCATACAGGTCTACCCTCGTTACAGGTCTGTTGGACGCCGAAGAACGGCCAGGCTAGAAATTCATCAAGCACAGCATACCAATGTATACACGGTGACTCAACTGCCACCAGGCTGAAATACATGAAAATAAGAACGGACTAGGCTAGGAGGCTGACCCTCCAGTTCTTCGGCGACCGACAGTACTGTAGTACGACATCGGTTACTGTACAGACAGAAAATTTCGTCGGTCAATAATTTCGTCCAACTCCAAAAAAAAGGGAGTTCGTCCGGTTGAAAATTTCGTCCATGTATCATAAGAGTGTATTGAAAAGCTGGACAAATCGACATTAGTCCGGCATTTAATTTAGTCCAAAAGCTCCTTGGACGAAAAAGACGAAATTAAATTCCAGACGAATATTTCTGCTTATACAGTACAAGACAAACCTCAAAAGTAGACAACGATCCAAAGTCCCCTGTCACCTGAAATTAGGCGTGCAGCAGTGGTACATGCAAGCCCGAATAGTAGATAATACTCGTTATAAGACAAACATTCAGAACCCCCTACCCCGGGTTTGTCTACTAATAAGGGTAGACCTGCAGTCCTCATTGGATCCCTGCAAAGTTCAAGTTACCTGCTTTTGATTGAAACAGGACTTGCCAAAAGTAGGGCCGAAACGATATGATCGATATAACATTTGCTGATAGCTAAGGAAGTTATCGATTATCGTTAGCTGCCATTAAACAAAAAGTAAAGTAAATTATCGTGTCCGTTCCCGAAGGGAACTCACGACGGCCGCTAACACCCGATAAACCAGGGTTAGCTGCCATTAACGAGAATGAAGTTGGCGTGTGTTTACCGCCATATTGCCAGTTGTGTCTTTGCCACTAACGATATAACAAAAATAACGCCCAAAATGCATCTCTTTGATTGTGGCCTGCTGGACTACACACACTTCTGAAAACGCCCATTACATGTTGCCCGTATGAGCCAGGCTAACTACGGGTGCATTTGATTGGTCCAATCCGGAACAGGATCACTTCACTCTGATACAGGGGTGTTTGATTGGCGTGCGCCGGATTTGGAATTCTAGACATACCGGTACTGTACTGGTCCTGTATATGCTTTGCTTGTGTGGCTGTGTAGATCCTCGCCGTGATCTATTCGTGCTACGCTGCCAACTCGGACGGCGATGCTAAAATGGTGTAGGCCCAGCAACACTGAGCCAGCACATGACGCCGTGTGTCGCGCCACCGACCTGGTCGCTAATGGCAGCAAACGGAAGCCAAGGCTTTCCTTTAGAATTCCGCCGGATACGTGTGGTGTGTACCCCGGCGCGCGCGTGTGTGTGTGTGTATGTGTGTCTGTGTGTGTGTGCGTGTTTTTATACCGCTTTTAGGGTGTTGCATCCTCTGTGGCTTGTGTGTAGCTCTCTGTAAGCGGTCTGGCTTGCTGCTTGCCCGACCGTTTTGATATCTCTTCAGAAAGATTTCGGGATTACCGCCTGCCTACCTGCCTGGCACCTAAGAACATCTGTGCGTGCCTGGTATTGAGCGTGTGTCGCTCTGTTTTCTGATTCCTTTTTTTGCTGTTGCTTTTTCTTTCCTTTGTGACTTTTTGTGTGTAGTTGTGTTTTTAGAGAGTTTGGCTTGTGTAGGTGTGCGTGGGAATTGTTTTTCGGCTGTGCCCTGAGTTTTCTCCTTTGGCATCTTTTTAAGATATTGGACAAAGGACGAAACAGTTTGGTCCGCAGATTGGTATTGGTTAGTAAATCATCTCGCGTGAATACCTACCAAGCGGGAGAATGTTTGTCAAGATTACGGTGGAGTCAGTTTCATCCGTTGGGAGCATTTACACACATATACTTACACGCTTATACTAAGTCTTACTATTCAAAGCATGTGCAGGGTTATGCTTGTCGCCTTATACACTTTACCATGGGCGTGCATACGGAGAGAGTGAATCCTCAATGAGAATAACAAAGAATCGAGCTAGTGAGAATCAACTCCCTCCAATTAACTTATGAATAGGGCAAGCTGACAAGCTGATAACCCTTCCCCACAGGTAGGCCTTGGCGGACACCGGTATTTTAGCGATCCGAGCTTCACAGTACGAGCTAAGATGTTCCTTGCAGTTTCACAGGTATATAATTATTTTATTACATGTAATTATTATGACTAGTACAGTCAGACTTCGCTTTAAACCGCACACTTACGTTTTCCACCAAATATCCGGATAGGCGAGGTAAGCGGTTACCCGAATACTGTAAAAGCCATTATTCTAACGAGGCGCATATTATAACGATTTCCCAAAATTGACTAGTTTACGTGTACCAAAGGTAACGATTCTCACTCCTTCTCAACGCGCTCAAAAGGACAGCATGATTGTATCGATTTCTGTATAACGATTTCTATTTTAAAACGACAGATTTCTCCTCGTTAGAGTTAGCACTTCGTTATTATAATTATTATGGCTTTTACAGTACACATACTGATGTATGCATGACATATGCTGTAAATCGGCAACCAACGATTTTCTTCCGGATGGCGAGGGATCCGGATAAACGAGGTCTGACTGTATATTATATTTGCATGCACAATACAGTACTGGTCATCATTTACATGTATATTATACATGTAAATGATGACCAGTACTGTATTGTGCATGCAAAGTCTCGATTGGCGCTGCAAAACTTTAGCGAAAACACTCCCTTCACTAAAATCGCTAAAATATCACCGTTGCTGAAATTAGCCATTTTACAGTAGCAAACCACCTCACAGGAAGAGGCGGGTGTGTGTGTGTGGGAGGGTGGGGAGGGGTCTGACTATTTCTCTGGAAAAGCTGGTTTTACATTGTGTAGACATATCCTCCGTCAAGACGGCGGTACGGACGACTGAGCGGCCGGATACCATGGATACCGGCGCCATGAAACGGTAGTGTAGGGCTGTGTCAGCTACGCCTTCTGGTCTCCGGGCCATCATTGCACCCGGCCTTATTCACCTTCTGTGTGGCTTAGAAAAATAATCTGTATCGTTGCCGGGCTAAACTTGGCCATCTAATCAGTGGTATTACCGAGATTCGAGAAAACAGTTTACAGTGATAAGCGTGGAGTGTGTTTTAGGTTTGAACAGCTCCAGGCAGTCACCCAGGCTTCCACACGATGAACTGGAACGGCCCCAACTCATCTACTAGGCCACTGTGCATGGTTGTTCTCACCTTGCACCTATCATAAATTAATTATTCAGTATAAGATTGCAAGTATGCTCAGCGGGAGGCGGTGAAGTGGAAGCTTGGTGAATTGGAGGTTTTTTCACAAAAAAAGAAGCATTTTGGCTTCTTGCAGCTCTGAAGCAAAACTTAGCAAGCAGATCCATGTGGACACACCCAGTCTAAACTGTACTGCAAATCTACACCATTTCCAATAATTACAAACCCTTTGGCATTCTAACCGCATTATGCTCATCACAAGGATACTGAAACCGAGTTGGAGACTGCATGTTTTACTTGAAGACATAATCATTAATATAATTATGCACTGCAGCAGCTCCTCCTCTAGAACAGGAGATCATGTGGTGGCCCAACAAAATATTTTTATTCAGGGGGCGTCGGAAGATATTTCAAGGTGGTACGGTCAGCCACCTAAGGTACAATTTACTCGTGGGGTTGGGGTGGCTCCTCAGATTTTCGAAATTTACACCCCAGCCGGCTCAGTGGTTTTATTGATTCACAGCCTGGTAGGTCACCCAGGACGAAGAGTGGTACGGTCAGTACAGCCAGTCAAGTGCCCAGAAATCCCATTAGCCGCATCCATGTACCCCAGGCCCTAGTGTCTGGCCACAAGTTCCCAGTTGACTGGGGGTAGCATTGAACGCGGCTGGAAAAACCGCTCCCAGGCCGGGCTTGAACCAGGTAACCTCTCGTATCTCAATCATGACCTCAATCAATCTCAACCAAACACTTATGTCACTACTGGCACAAAACCTTATGCATTAGCACATTATGTACACAGCAAGGTGCCCACTCGCCCTAACTGGATAGTGCTGGGGCTCTACATATTCCCTGCTAGATATTGTAAATGGAAAAATTAATGTCGATTGGTCAGCCCATTTTATATCGTTATAGGGGTAATATCGTTATAGTAATATTGTTATAAGGGTAAGGCATTGTATACAAAAGTCAATGGAGTGATTTGGTTTGATAGAAAAATATCGTTTAAGGGTAAGATCATTATAGGGGTATTCATTATACGGGTAAGATCATTATGGGGGTTATCGTTACAAGTACATGGGTAGGTTGACTGTACCGTAGAGACCCCAGCGTGTCAGACACCCCAGTAAGGGATTAGCCCCGAAATCTGAATGGGCCCAAGCAGCCAACTGCATCTTCTCTGGTGTTGGGTGTCCGGGCTGGCGATGGTTCTGCAACACTCGGTTCACGTCTTTCATGTTCTCCCGGGGCCGGGCGTTGCTGCCCCCGTCTTCTCCTCCAGCAACAGTTTGCGGAGACATCGTCAAAGCGGGGACACGTCTGAGATTGCTCCTGCTGTGTAGATGTCGTGTTTGCGCCGGTGGATTCGGCATGCTTATGCCTTGCGGGTGGCCGTTCAGGCAGAGCGTGTGGGCACCCATCACCGCTCGCAGCTGCAGGAGCAGAAGCAGCTTCTGCTTGTGTCTGTGTCGCTCTCTCGCTCAAATCCAGGTGCTTTGAGATCTCCTGAATGATCTCGGTGAAGGTGAGCCGATATCGGGGCTCCGGGCACAGCAGGTTGGCTATCAGGAGATCGGCACAGGCTGGCAGCTCGCGTGTGTACACGTCAGGAAAGACTAGTTTCGCACGACGCTGTGGACGTACGGACACAGGCTCTGGCTTACGGTGGTTAGCATGTACGAACGCCAAGTATTCGGTGTCGCTTCTGTGAGCATTCTCCCACAACGCCCCTGCCCGCATGGTCAGCACCTCAAACACGACGTGACCGAATCGCCACGAGTCGCTCAACACGCTCACGGTGCAGAGCTGCGTGGGCCTGCTCCGCGGGTGGCTCATCCGGTCTACTTCGTTGTCCGCCGGATACAGCTCGGGAGGACGATACCGGCGGGTGTCGTCCAGCCCACCGAGGCGGTTCAGCCGCTGCCCGACAAACTTAGCCGAGCCGAGGTCGATGACCTTGGCAATCCTTGAGCCGTCCTTGCGACGGCCTACACAGAAATTGGACAACTTCACATCAAAGTGGATAATGTTTAAGGAGTAGAGGAACTTCAAGCCCTGCACCGCGTCACGTAGAAGACGGAATCGCTCATCGTCCTCCACAGTGTAATCAAGATTGGCCAGCGTGCCATCAGGATAGTAATCCAGTTCGTAGCCGACTGCCGAGTCTAGTTCAAACCACACGCCCTTGCACGCGGCTATGAGATGTTGATCTATGCACGGGCGCTGCTCCAGTTGATGCTGCGTCACTTTCATGTGCAGCAGAAACTCCTCGTAGAGCTGGCTGCTCGCCTGCGCACTCTCGCTGGTGTCCTGTATCATCTTAATGCATCTCTCTCCGCCATTCCCAAACGTGGCTCCACCGCCACCACCACCGCCACTGTCGCTTCCACCGGCGTTCTGTCCGTGCAATGGTGCCACAATAAGCACGCAGCGTTTTCGTCCTCGCCGGCACACCACCGACTTCACAGTCCTGACGTCGCTGAGCTTGGCCACCTTGACGACGCAGGGCACGCACTGGTACGCACTCTTGGCGCGTTCAAAGTGCCGCGCCTGCGGAAACTGGCCCTGCAGCCGCACGAACAGCTCCTCGAGGTGCTGCTTGTTTGGCATTGGCGGGCGGTCGCACCCATACCAAGCACCAAACGACACGCCGCGCAGCAACGGCAGTGGCGGTGGTGGCGGATGCAACTGTTGCGAGTGAGAACGCGGCTCTGAGTGTTGCGGTATGGAGTCACTACTCTGTTCCTGAGTGGCTGGCTGGACGTTACTTACCACCGGCTTACTCATGGCGCCCTGGTGGCTGCTTGTCAACATCCTGCCACCACTCTTAGGCATGATTGCGGCCGGTGTGTCTTGAAATACCGGCGATATGCTTCCACGAAACGATCTTGCTCCACCTGCTCAGCCGGGTTTCGACCCGTTACTTGACCAACAAGTGCAGCTATCGCTGTGTGCGGAATTGTGTTGGCAACTGCAGGTAGTTGCAGTATGCGTGTTTGCAGATCTAGTTGATGTCAGGCCAGGTAAAATGTGATGTTGTTTCGGACGGTGATGTAGTTTGGTCACCTGTCGAGTTTGAGCTCCGTCAGACCAGGGTGTGATTCCCCCGTAGCACACCACTGAATGTTCGTGCACCTTGTCACCACCCAGACCTATATGTACGAGAGTCGTATATGTAGTTTCTCCCAGGCTGCTATTGCGTAGAGCGGTTTATCTAACCCGCTCTATTGTGGCCGATCTCTGCAAAGCAAGTCGGCAAGGCAAGTCGCAAGGCAAGTCGCAACACAAGGCAAGTCGGATGTGCTGGTCAATACAAAGCCAAGTTCTATCGTGCAGGCTGCCAATGTGTAGGAACGTGTACTTCAGTAACTGATCTGCACTACAATGTAACGTTAGTTGAAACCGGCACTGCCATCACTGTATCGCCTTCCACTATAGTATGCTGTGCAGAGCTAGGATACCAAAACTGCACCACTGGGACTGGTGTGCCGCAGCTCAGCCGTCTTCCTTAGTACTGCGTGTGCTTCAGGACAGGGGTGGTGTTGTAGCCG